TAGCACCCTTCGGCAGCTGTGCCAGACATCTCACAGATCTTGAACTATTTGATGTCCAAACATTCAAGAGTATGAAAAAAAGCGACAGGAAAAAAATCTTTATAGAACTTCCTGTGACAGGTCAGAGTTTAATCACAGCAAGTAATGCAGATTTCCCTTTTATTATAACCACAATAGAAAGGCAGGGCTTGTGTTTACAGAGCATGTTGTTTGGGAGACCTTTGTAAATTGTAATCTTTGGAAATCCCAAACCTTATTGGTTGTAATCCCATCCATTAGATGAAGACAACTTGCCTATGCAATAGATCCAGAATAGCAAGTTAAATGGAGAACATGAACAGGAAGCAGTTATTCCGAATTACAATGGGTAGGATGCAGAGTTAATTCATGGAGATATTTTGTTATGAGATAATTACATCACTAGGACAGCTGGAAAGCTGAGTGCTGTGCTGGACCGCAGTGCTTGCTCTCTGCCCTGCAGCTGGGGGGTCAGGACAATAGAGACAGGGAGAGGACTTATTTTATGGGATAGTTAGGGGCTTGGCTGACTTAATTGTAAAATGATAATGACCTATCTGCCTTTTTTGGATTTTGTTTTGCGCAGCTAAACTGGATTCGTAGACTCAGTGAATGCTGAGAACTACTTTTTGAACCTTCACTTGGATCACGTTAGGCTAAGCTCTAATGGATAAATTTTGAATGGTAGTTTTCATTTCCTCTAAAAGTCATCTGAGATATTTTTGTTCATCCTCAACACAATGTGATTATATTTCTCTTATGGAACTGTAGTTATGCAGTCACTGAAATGGTATTTTTGTCAGTTTACTGAATAGCAAAAAAAATAGAATGGTTTTAGAAAGCTTTAAGATGTCGGTCGACACAAGGAATCAAACAGTTGAAGTTATTTCCCAGGGTTTATTTTCAAATGTTCAGACCTGTCTGGCTCTTTTGTTTTGCAAGTTATAGAGGTTATAGATAGCTTGACCACATTCCTCATTGATTTATATAAATATATTACAGATTGTTAACCTCCTGCCAAACACCAGGGGTTTCATTCAGTTCTTGTTTAGTTCGGTTGCTTTATGTGAGACTTATTGGTTTTGTTACAGCATCTATCTTCTCTTTATTGCCCACTGAAGTGATTATTATTTGCTTTGGGATGATTCCAGACAGAGTCCTTGTAGACAAGAAAGCATCAAAAATATTATGTTCTAAAATTCCTAAGATTAGTATTTATAGCTGTTGATTCAAAATGCATTTTCTACCCATTATGACTAATGTAATTTAATTTTACTATGATAATGTTTACTAAGCAATTAAGTCAGACTAAATTTCATGTTTTAGTATAGAGTAATATTTCCCAAAATGTCTTCTGTACGGTACTGGGTCTATTGGATGTTGATGGCCAGCATTGGAGCCCAAAACCTACAGGTTCTTCTAGGACTTTTACTTCCCTCGATGTCACTTTTGAATTTCTAAGGAGACGGTAATAGGCTCCATTTCCCAAATAAAATTGATAACGGCACCTTAAAAAAATAAAAAGCATTATCACCTTGAACCAGCGTGAGCCACTTCTAATAAACACCATTCTTCTTGTAGCCTAGAAGAATATATAATTATATACACTAAAATTTATACAAGAATATTCTACTCTGTGTCTCTTTAAATGTGTGTCTTTAAAAAAAATTGCCCATTAAAATTAGTGCCTTTTCTCCATGGCTTATCATTTGGGGCAATTAACAGGGGCTCCAGGGAGCTCACCTTTTGCATATCTCAGGTGTGGAGTCCAGGTGCTGCAGGCAGCAACAGTGAATCTTAATAAATTGAAGAGAGTGATATAACTTTGAGAAAAATAACTTGGGTGGGTTAGATGTTATTCTTGCATTGTGTCATACAGAGTGTTTGAAAATGGTTTCAGTGAGATGAAGCAACATAGCATGCTGCCAGGGCTGTTAGGTAACTAACAACGGTTTGGGAGCAAGTGACCCTTCGGTTTAGCAGTGTTTTATGATCACTTCATTCTCCAGCTACATCCCTGTCAAAACATTTTTTTCTTTTGGAAATTACTAAAACGTCTTATGTATTACAAACCGTAAGTGTAGTAAGAACTGGAGTTACTAGTTCTTTACTGACTGGAGGCAGTGATAAACAATGTATTTTTTTATTAAGGAAATGTATTACTTATAATAGAAAACATTTTGAAAGTAATGTTTAAGAAGCACAGCTGTAATGATGTAGTTCCCATGTTTGTATTTGATTTTAGTACAGGCCATTTTTGGTTCATTACTGTTTCATTTTATCACAAAAATAGAAGCAACAGATATAAAGAAGCTTGGTAATTGTGGAACTCCTTTTTCTTCTTCAAAAGGAAGAAAAAATATTCCATTGTATATATTTGCCACATCTTCTTTATCCATTCATCTGTCAGTGGACACTTAGGTTGGTTCCATGTCCTGGCTATTGTAAATAGTGCTGCAGTGAACATTGTGGTACATGACTCTTTTTGAATTATGGTTTTCTCAGGATATATGCCCAGTAGTGGGGTTGCTGGGTCATATGGTAGCTCTGTTTTTAGTTTTTTAAGGAACCTCCATACGGTTCTCCATAGTGGCTGTATCAGTTTACATTCCCACCAACAGTGCAAGAGGGTTCCCTTTTCTCCATACCCTCTCCAGCATTTATTGTTTGTAGATTTTTTGATGATGGCCATTCTGACCAGTGTGAGGTGATACCTCATTGTAGTTTTGATTTGCATTTCTCTAATGATCAGGGATGTTGAGCCCAGCCATAAAAAGAAACAAAATTGAATTATTTGTAGTGAGGTAGATGGACCTAGAGTCTGTCATACAGAGTGAAGTCAGAAAGAGAAAAACAAATACCGTATGCTAACATATATATGGAATCTAAAAAAAAAAAAAAAATGGTTCTGATGAACCTAGGGGCAGGACAGGAATAAAGACACAGACGTAGAGAATGGACTTGAGGACATGGGGAGGGGGAAGGGTAAGCTGGGACGAAGTGAGAGAGTGGCATGTACATATATACACTACCAAATGTAAAATAGTTAGCTAGTGGGAAGCAGCTGCATAGCTTGGTGCTTTGTGACCACCTAGAGGGGTGGGTTAAGGAAGGTGGGAGCGAGATGCAAGAGGGAGGGGATATGGGGATATATGTATGCATATAGCTGATTCACTTTGTTATACAGCAGAAACTAACACAACACTGTAAAGCAATTATACTCCGATAAAGATGTTAAAAAAAAAAAGGGAAGAAAAGAATAAAGCTGTCAAAGTATGCGGTTTAAATGGAAAGAAGATTGTTCAAAGAAGCCTATGAATAAATGGTAGTTACCTTGAATTACCAAATTGAAAGAGTTGTTTTTATAAACTTCCCAGGTTTCAGATCCATGCATGATAGCAATCATATTTTTCAGTACGGCATGCATATGATTTATGGCATTATTTTTAATAAATTTGTTAGTTAGGAGTTTTTACTTTGTCAGAATAATTTTTCAGAATAAGTCACATTAGTGATACTCGAAGACTTTAGAAATTTAGAAAAAGTTAAGTTTATAAGTAGATAATTAAAACTTAGAAGTCAGAATATTTGGAAGTAGACAAACGTAAGGAAGAAATTCTGTTGATCTTAATTGATTTTAATGGAGTTGTAGAACTCACCCCAGGCTGCCCAAAATTAAAAAGGAGTTTGGACCTGGCTATAAAGTATGTGTGGTTGGTGGTGGTGGTGTTCACCCCATCGATTTAACTTAATTATGGTGTTCTTTAGTTTCTTTTAAGGTTTACTTTAGATTAACACTGAAGTACCAAAGGTTATGGAGCCCATTTAGCCCAGCAATGCAGTAGAGTGGCATGGTGAACCAGCTAGGCATTAAAAATTTAAGAGGTAATGTACAAAGTGGATAACTGAGAGTCAACCCTGCATTTCAGTAACTGGGTTATATGCACATTTATAGTTAGTTTCTTTGAAGAAGGTGTTGTTTCATTTTAAAAAATGAAAGAAAGTAATATGAATAGCACTTTTATTAGCCTTTTCTTAGTATTTATATTACATTCTTGTCAAGAAATTTATTTATAGCTTGTTTATGGGTGGTGTGTTTAACTCTTTAAATGTTTGGTGAGCATCTCATGTGCCAGATAGTATCCTTTGTCTGTTGAAACTAAAGGAGATTCTGTCCTTTGTCTTGAAAATTCTTTTGACTACTGAAGGCTTTGTTCTTAAAACTTAAATTTTGAATTTGTTGTAGGATTTTATGGAAGGAATTGAATTCTCCCATCCAAACATAATTATAAAGTTTGTCAATCTGCCTTTATCATCTAAGGGCAATATAGTTTACAAATGCAATTTCTGCCCCCTCCAAAAGTTAAAATTTCACAGTTTTTATTAGCATGATATTTGGAATTTTAAAACTAAGAATTCATGCCCATTCCAGGGAAATGATTTGATTCACCAGGATGAGAAGGCTTTCTTAGAAATAAACCAAATTTCTCCATATTCCATTATAGTTATTTTCATAGGCATAATTATAAGACCTTAAATTCCAGGAAAATCTAAATTGCAGAGTCCAGCATCTCCAGAAAATGCTCAATCTGTCTCTTTAATAATTCTTGACCTGTGAGCTAAGAATCATATTTTTCCTAGAGGCTGCAGTTTTTGAAACTATCTCTATCAGCAAATTCTACCTAAGATCTTAACTAAGGAGCCCTCCAAGCAGGCATTCTCATGTTGCAGTCGTGTTGCTTTTTCTTTGCCATTGTGGATTTTGTCACCACTTAACCAAGTGCTCTGCCCCTGAACTTTCATATCGATATTAAAGTATCAGATCCTATTAGGTATCCTTACGTATTATCACAAGGAATGATCAAACCTGTCCTTTTTTTCCCCCTAATTATGTGATCAAGTTGAGGGATATGTGTAAGACTTACAGGTTACTTCTTTGCTTATTACCACCTACTTAATACCTCTTTTTTTTTTCCTTTTAGGTTGTTTGATGTGTGCACAGTGTCACGAACAGACAGAGAAACCAAACTAACATTAGTGTTTGAACATGTTGATCAAGACTTGACCACTTATTTGGATAAAGTTCCAGAGCCTGGAGTGCCCACTGAAACCATAAAGGTACTAAGAATCATCTCTCTGCCTAGTCAAACAGTCACACTGTTATATAAACAATGGCACTCTTTCCTTATGAAAATTGCCAAAATTAGAGCCTTTGGAACTCAATATATAGTTAAATATATCTAGTATGACTAAGTGGGATGTTTAAAGAATGGGGTATATTCTAGTTCACTAATTTTAGGGCTCAGTGGAAAAAACCCTTTAGTTCTAATACATATTAAAATTATTGGAAAATATCTATTTGTACGTTATCTGGCCCTAAGCTTAGAAAGTATAGTGTAGTAAGTATAGCTCAGCCTTTTTCTGATCGTTTGTGGATTCTGAGGGTTATAATTTAAAACATCATTCATGAGTATATTGAATATGTACTTGTATACTGGTCCTAGGACATACCTATGCTATGTAAATCTGAAATATTGATTGTTAGGCCCTTCTTTCTCCATTTTCTCCTCATTCATAAAACATTTATAGGAAGCCTAAGTGTCAGGTACCATCCCAAACTCTTGGGATTCAAAGATGACTTAAAACTCCTTGGAGGTCAGCAAGCTAGATGCATTGTATTGACTAGAGGTCCTTTCTTCCTTTAGGTCTAATGGGAAGAGCTACTTGTAAAGCTCTGTTGGTCTTACTTTGTTCTGCTTAATTGAACTTCCGAGTCAATCTTGTAGATCTGTGCATATCATGGGCAGGTTTTCACAAAGACCTGTTTGTTTTCGTGAATCAGGTGAAACAGACTCCTTACCTTATCATTCTTTGTGTAGAAATGAATTCTAGAGTTCAGCATCATTTTAGATAGGAGTTAATAGCTGAAAACAGTTTATCTTCTGAACAGAGTAAGAAATGTCTTTTAGTGATAGCTAGGTGGTGTTCCCAGATACTGATACATTTAGAACTTGATGTACTGAATGATTTATTTCTTGGGTTTTAGACTAATGTAGAATTTATTTTCTCCTATCTGCCTTTCATGAAAGAACATGGTGCTCAGGAATGGTCTCGTTGCTTCCTGAGCAGTTTCAGGGACAGTAAGGCCCTTTAAACATAGGTATTCCTAATTACCTGTTCTTGGTCCTTTTCTCTTCTATCTCTGCATCCCTTTTTTCACTCAAATTCTATTCCAATCCTGTGGCTTCAGTTCTTTCCTTTATGAGTTTGTCCAAAATACCATGTTCAGCATGCAGGGCCGAGTATAGCCCTGTTTTGTGTTCTCTGCTTTCTGGCCAGATTGGGCTAATCCCCATCCTCTTACTGTGGCTCGTAATTTCCTACCTCCGTGGGCTTCCTTTGCTCCGTTGCCATTCCTTTGCTCCCCCCCCACCAATAACTCTCTGCTTACATTTTTCAAGGCCCACCCCAGATATCATTTGAGCAGCCGTTACAGCTGGATGTAATCTCATTTGTCTTATAGCTTGCTCTACATCTCTCCCTCTTTATCATATTTTCTACATTTAATTGTGATTATTTGTGTCCATGTCTTACCTATTCATTCATCTTTGTATCCTGACAGTCCCTACTCAGTGACTTATACACATAGGTACTCAATAAATAAGACACATTGCCAACCTTTCTTCAGATATAATTAATTGAAAATTGTTTTTTAAATGACTTCCAACAGCTTAAACACGGACTGTCAAAATAAGCATTAGCTTTTTCTGATCTATTTCTAAGTTCAAAAATTTCATTTGGGGGAGGTCATTTTTTTTTAAGCAGCGAGACAAGGTAACCATATATTTATACCCTACATTGCCACCTACATGGATCTTTCGAGCTTCACGTTAAATTCTCCTAGGACATTAGAGGCTGCTGAGTGGAATCATTTGCAAAAGTATGTGTAGTTAAAATGACTGATAAACCAGAGTGATGTGCTTAAACTAAGGCTTGATCAGGCAAGAGTAGAAAATGAAGTGGGGTGGGGGAAACTCCCAAGGGTGGGAGTAGAGAGGTAAGCAGGATTCAGAGAGGAACAGGCAAAAAGGTGGTCACTAAGGTGAGGTGAAGGAGAGGAGCCGGGGGATGGCCAAGCCAAGGTTGGGGAGCGGGGGATTGGTGCTTATCAACAGAAGCTTTTGACAAGGTAACTTGTTAAAAGTATTTTTTGAGTTCTTCATCTATCCAGGGAAAGGGAGTGTCACTTCGTTCTGTGTTGAACAGGAGATTCTCCTGGAGGCTGTTAAATTTCTTCAGCCATCAGGGGCAACAGCCCCACAAAGGTAGAGGTGGGTACAAGGGCTGTGGTTATTTAAGGTTTGTGGTTAATGGTGTTTTGATGTTTTCGTAGTAAAATAAAACTACGGTCAACTGAAATATTTCAGGCGATTAATTTGTATCTTAACGGCTCATTGAACATCTTTTGCTAACTTAAAAGTGAGTCGCAAGACCCGTTTCGTCTTCACCCTTAATTTTTTTTTTTAATTGAAGTATAGTTGATTTACAGTGTTGTTTTTAGTTTCTGGTGTACAGTGAAGTGATTCAGTTATACATATACATATATTCTTTTTCAGATTCTTTCCCATTATAGTTTATTACAAGATATTGAATATAGTTCCCTTGCTATACAGTAGGACCTTGTTGTTTATCTATTTTATATATAGTAGTTTGTATCTGCTAATCCCAAACCTAATTTATTCCCCCCTCCCCGCCCCTTTCCCCTTGGGTAACCATAAGTTTTCTATGTCTATGAGTCTGTTTCTGTTTTGTAAATAAGTTCATTTGTATCATTTTTTTTAGATTCCACCCATAAGTGATATCATATGATATTTGTCTTTGTCTGTTTGACTTCACTTAGTATGATAATCTCTAGGTCCATCCATGTTGCTGCAAATAGCAGTAGTTCATTCTTTTTATGGCTGAGTAGTATTCCATTGTATATATATATACCACATCTTCTTTACCCGTTCATCTGAAAAGGGCATTTAGGTTGCTCCCATGTCTTGGCTATTGTAAACAGTGCTGCCGTGAACACTGGGGTGCATGTATCTTTTCAAATTAGAGTTTTCTTCAGATATGCCCATTCATCCTTAATTTTTAAAAATTTTCTGAACTGTGCTGATCTACTTTTCTTCCTTATTAAATATAAGGGTTTTTTTTTTTTTTTAGAATTTGTGTTTGAGGTTCTTTAAGGTCATCATTAAAAACATGAGTAATCATTTAAAAGCACTATAGTACTATCAAATGGATAGTTTTAAGCTGAATATATGATTGACATAAATTTATTTTTAACGAACACTTTTATCTTTTGTTTCTAAGTTGACATCTTTTTAAGCACTGGTATGAAGGATAAACAGCTGCTCAGTAGGAAGTTCCAGCTAGTTGAGGTTCTGGTTAATTGAATTTTTCAAGCACACAGCCAGAGAACAGAAATATTTTGTTGTTGTATAGCTCATTTATGAGAAGTCTCAATAACTACATCAAGTGAGTATTGTTATTATGAGGAACCTATTGGGAACATGGATTGGATTCTTTATATAGAATGCTTTGTTGTAATAAGAGTTTTTCTGAATATACTCGTACAAAGGTTAATTGAATATTTACAGGGTGAGTTCTGTGCTAGGCACTTTGAGGACACAAAACTGCATAAGTCATGAACCTGCACTTGAGGACCTTAGAATATAAGAGCACACAGAAGCATGTGGGACACTTCTCTATGGTTATTTAAGTAGTTTAGTTGGTGTTTGGTATTTTCAGGTTTAAAAAACCCCACTTACTTATGAATAAACACAGTCTGTAGCTGATTCTTTGCATTATGGTACCAAAGTATTTTCTAAAATGTTCTTCGAAATCATAAATATTATTATTGACATTGTCTTGCATATATCAGAACTCGCCATGTTGCAAAATAGACAAATAGGTAAAATATTTTAACATGAAATAGGTGTAAAACAGGAAGTCAGGGAAAGACCTCATATTCAGTTGGTTTAGGCTGTGGGAATTTTCCTCCACTACCTGTCCCCCACCATGTTTTCTGTGGCACTGTTGACCTGTTGGTCCGCCTCAATTCACTATATTCGAGCGCACATTCAGGACATAAATTGCATTAGGTGAGCCGTACTTGGGTAAAACGGGGATGTTGCATGGTCTCTGACTAGCTATTACAGAGGTAAACTCTTTCTGTTCAGTACCATTTTCATCAACCTGTTTGTTATAAAAAGAGCCCATGAGGGCTTCCCAGGTGGTTCAGTGGTTAAGACTCCGTGCTTCCACTGCAGGGGGTGTGGGTTCGATCCCTGGTCAGGGAAGTTCCACATGCCACATGGTGCAACCAAATAAAGAAAGAAAGAAAGAAAAGAAACAAACAAACAAAAAAAGAACCCATGATGGGCTTATTTTCCCAGCTTACATATATCACAATTTTTACATGCATTTAAATACCATTTGTTTTTAAAAGTAAAAATGGCAGAAAACCACCCCTGAAGCCCTAAGTATTTGTGAAGGTTGATAGTTGGGTGAACTCATTAGGGGAAATTCTATCATTATCATATGGTCTGGACTGAAAATTGTCATTGAGAGGCTTATGAGAATAAAATCATAGGTGGTTCTTTCCAACATTTTAAAATACACCTATTCTAAAAATAAATAAATACATTTATACGTCTTATTCATACTTCATCTTGAAGTTTTCATCACATTCTTTAATCTCTTTTCTTGATGTCCTGAGATATATTCATTCATGTTGATGGTGACATTTGCATAAAGAAACCTCTTGACTGCTATGCTGTGACATCAACAAATACTCAAACTTTGCCTCGTAGGCTTATTGTTGCCATATCTTGCTTTCCTATTTCTAGTTCGGAATGTTTTTTTTTTTTTCCCGGTACGCGGGCCTCTCACTGTTGTGGGCTCTCCCGTTGTGGAGCACAGGCTCCGGACGCGCAGGCTTAGCGGCCATGGCCCACGGACCCAGCCGCTCCGCGGCACGTGGGATCTTCCCGGACCGGGGCACGAACCCGTGTCCCCTGCATCGGCAGGTGGACTCTCAACCACTGCACCACCAGGGAAGCCCAGAA